TGCTTTCTCGTCTCTCTCCTCTCTCCTCCTGTCACTTCCTGCAGGTGTTTCTGGCTCTGGAGCTGTGGAGTCTGGATCTGTGGTTGCGGGTCACCTGCTGCCCCCGTGTTCCTGCTCGACACCCTCTGCTGCAACAACTATTGTTGCTAGTCTTATTGTTATTATTGTTATTATAATCATTAACAGTATGATGGTTACCATTAACACTATTATAAATATCTGTACCATTTTTCATTTGGTCTATAGCAGCATTACCTTCACTGTGTGTACCTCTGTGTGTATATTGTGTAGGCTGCCTCTGTATATTGTGTGGAATGGAAACCAATGGAACCCCCTCCAAACTGGAAACCAGTGTGGAATGGAAAACAGTGGAAACCAGTCTGCACTGGAAACCAGTGGAAACCAGTGTGGAGTGGAAACCAATCTACACTGGAAACCAGTGTGGAATGGAAACCAATGGAACCCTCTCCAAACTGGACGGTCTGCACTGGAAACCAGTGGAAACCAATCTACACTGGAAACCAGTGTGGAATGGAAAACAGTGGAAACCAGTCTGCACTGGAAACCAGTGTGGAATGGAAACCAGTGGAAACCAGTCTGCACTGGAAACCAGTGTGGAATGGAAACCAATGTGGAATGGAAACCAGTGGAAACCAGTGTGGAATGGAAACCAGTGGAAACCAGTCTACACTGGAAACCAGTGTGGAATGGAAACCAGTGGAAACCAGTCTACACTGGAAACCACTGTAGAATGGAAACCAATGGAACCCGCTCCAAACTGGACAGTCTGCACTGGAAACCAGTCTACACTGGAAACCAATGGAACCCGCTCCAAACTGGACAGTCTGCACTGGAAACCAGTGAGAACCAGTCTACACTGGAAACCAGTGAGGAATGGAAACCAGTGGAACCCGCTCCAAACTGGACAGTCTGCACTGGAAACCAGTGGAAACCAATCTACACTGGAAACCAGTGTTGAATGGAAACCAATCTACACTGGAAACCAGTGTTGAATGGAAACCAGTCTACACTGGAAACCACTAAACCACTATAGAATGGAAACCAATGGAACCCGCTCCAAACTGGACAGTCTGCACTAGAAACCAGTGAGAACCAGTCTACACTGGAAACCAGTGAGAACCAGTCTACACTGGAAACCAGTGAGGAATGGAAACCAGTGGAACCCACTCCAAACTGGACAGTCTGCACTGGAAACCAGTGGAAACCAATCTACACTGGAAACCAGTGTGGAATGGAAACCAATGGAACCCCCTCCAAACTGGAAACCAGTGTGGAATGGAAAACAGTGGAATCCAGTGTGGAATGGAAAACAGTGGAATCCAGTGTGGAATGGAAAACAGTGGAAACCAGTCTGCACTGGAAACCAGTGGAAACCAGTGTGGAGTGGAAACCAATCTACACTGGAAACCAGTGTGGAATGGAAACCAATGGAACCCCCTCCAAACTGGAAACCAGTGTGGAATGGAAAACAGTGGAAACCAGTCTGCACTGGAAACCAGTGGAAACCAGTGTGGAGTGGAAACCAATCTACACTGGAAACCAGTGTGGAATGGAAACCAATGGAACCCTCTCCAAACTGGACGGTCTGCACTGGAAACCAGTGGAAACCAATCTACACTGGAAACCAGTGTGGGATGGAAACCAATCTACACTGGAAACCAGTGTGGAATGGAAACCAATGGACCCCCCTCCAAACTGGACGGTCTGCACTGGAAACCAGTGGAAACCAATCTACACTGGAAACCAGTGTGGAATGGAAACCAGTCTGCACTGGAAACCAGTGTGGAATGGAAAACAGTGGAAACCAGTCTGCACTGGAAACCAGTGTGGAATGGAAAACAGTGGAAACCAGTCTGCACTGGAAACCAGTGTGGAATGGAAACCAATGTGGAATGGAAAACAGTGGAAACCAGTCTACACTGGAAACCAGTGTGGAATGGAAACCAGTAGAAACCAGTCTACACTGGAAACCAGTGTGGAATGGAAACCAGTGGAACCCACTCCAAACTGGACAGTCTGCACTGGAAACCAGTCTACACTGGAAACCACTAAACCACTATAGAATGGAAACCAATGGAACCCGCTCCAAACTGGACAGTCTGCACTGGAAACCAGTGGAAACCAATCTACACTGGAAACCAGTGTTGAATGGAAACCAGTCTGCACTGGAAACCAGTGTGGAATGGAAAACAGTGGAAACCAGTCTGCACTGGAAACCAGTTTGGAATGGAAACCAGTGGAAACCAGTCTGCACTGGAAACCAGTGTGGAATGGAAACCAGTGTGGAATGGAAACCAGTTGAAACCAGTGTGGAATGGAAACCAGTGGAAACCAGTCTGCACTGGAAACCAGTGTGGAATGGAAACCAATGGAACCCGCTCCAAACTGGACAGTCTGCACTGGAAACCAGTCTACACTGGAAACCAATGGAACCCGCTCCAAACTGGACAGTCTGCACTAGAAACCAGTGAGAACCAGTCTACACTGGAAACCAGTGAGGAATGGAAACCAGTGGAACCCACTCCAAACTGGACAGTCTGCACTGGAAACCAGTGGAAACCAGTCTACACTGGAAACCAGTGTGGAATGGAAACCAATGGAAACCCCTCCAAAATGGACGGTCTGCACTGGAAACCAGTGGAAACCAATCTACACTGGAAACCAGTGTGGAATGGAAACCAGTCTACACTGGAAACCACTAAACCACTATAGAATGGAAACCAATGGAACCCGCTCCAAACTGGACAGTCTGCACTGGAAACCAGTGGAAACCAATCTACACTGGAAACCAGTGTTAAATGGAAACCAGTCTGCACTGGAAACCAGTGTGGAATGGAAAACAGTGGAAACCAGTCTGCACTGGAAACCAGTGTGGAATGGAAAACAGTGGAAACCAGTGTGGAATGGAAAACACTGGAAACCAGTGTTGAATGGAAACCAGTCTGCACTGGAAACCAGTGTGGAATGGAAAACAGTGGAAACCAGTCTGCACTGGAAACCAGTGTGGAATGGAAAACAGTGGAAACCAGTCTGCACTGGAAACCAGTGTGGAATGGAAAACAGTGGAAACCAGTCTACACTGGAAACCAGTGTGGAATGGAAACCAGTAGAAACCAGTCTGCACTGGAAACCAGTGTGGAATGGAAACCAGTGGAACCCACTCCAAACTGGACAGTCTGCACTGGAAACCAGTCTACACTGGAAACCACTAAACCACTATAGAATGGAAACCAATGGAACCCGCTCCAAACTGGACAGTCTGCACTGGAAACCAGTGGAAACCAATCAACACTGGAAACCAGTGTTGAATGGAAACCAGTCTGCACTGGAAACCAGTGTGGAATGGAAAACAGTGGAAACCAGTCTGCACTGGAAACCAGTGTGGAATGGAAAACAGTGGAAACCAGTGTGCACTGGAAACCAGTGTGGAATGGAAACCAATGTGGAATGGAAAACAGTGGAAACCAGTGTGGAATGGAAACCAGTGGAAACCAGTCTACACTGGAAACCAGTGTGGAATGGAAACCAGTAGAAACCAGTCTGCACTGGAAACCAGTGTGGAATGGAAACCAGTGGAACCCACTCCAAACTGGACAGTCTGCACTGGAAACCAGTCTACACTGGAAACCAATGGAACCCGCTCCAAACTGGACAGTCTGCACTAGAAACCAGTGAGAACCAGTCTACACTGGAAACCAGTGAGGAATGGAAACCAGTGGAACCCACTCCAAACTGGACAGTCTGCACTGGAAACCAGTGGAAACCAGTCTACACTGGAAACCAGTGTGGAATGGAAACCAATGGAACCCCCTCCAAAATGGACGGTCTGCACTGGAAACCAGTGGAAACCAATCTACACTGGAAACCAGTGTGGAATGGAAACCAGTAGAAACCAGTCTGCACTGGAAACCAGTGTGGAATGGAAACCAGTGGAACCCACTCCAAACTGGACAGTCTGCACTGGAAACCAGTGGAAACCAATCTACACTGGAAACCAGTGTTAAATGGAAACCAGTCTGCACTGGAAACCAGTGTGGAATGGAAAACAGTGGAAACCAGTCTGCACTGGAAACCAGTGTGGAATGGAAAACAGTGGAAACCAGTCTGCACTGGAAACCAGTGTGGAATGTAAACCAGTGGAAACCAGTCTACACTGGAAACCAGTGTGGAATGGAAACCAGTAGAAACCAGTCTGCACTGGAAACCAGTGTGGAATGGAAACCAGTGGAACCCACTCCAAACTGGACAGTCTGCACTGGAAACCAGTCTACACTGGAAACCAGTGGAACCCACTCCAAACTGGACAGTCTGCACTGGAAACCAGTGGAAACCAGTCTACACTGGAAACCAGTGTGGAACGGAAACCAGTGGAATCCAGTGTGGAATGGAAAACAGTGGAAACCAGTGTGGAATGGAAACCAATGGAACCCGCTCCAAACTGGATAGTCTGCACTGGAAACCAGTCTACACTGGAAACCAATGGAACCCGCTCCAAACTGGACAGTCTGCACTAGAAACCAGTGAGAACCAGTCTACACTGGAAACCAGTGTGGAATGGAAACTAATAGAACCCGCTCCAAACTGGATAGTCTGCACTGGAAACCAGTGGAAACCAGTCTGCACTGGAAACCAGTGTGGAATGGAAACCAATGGAACCCGCTCCAAACTGGACAGTCTGCACTGGACACCAGTCTACACAGAAAACCAGTGGAACCCAGTCTGCCCTGGAAACCAGTGGAACCCAGTGTGGAATGAAAAACAGTGGAAACCAGTGTGGAATGGAAACCAGTGGAAACCAGTCTGCACTGGAAACCAGTCTGCACTGGAAACCAGTGTAGAATGGAAACCAGTGGAAGTCCACATTTAGTGCGGGACAGTGATGGTGCAGTGGATAAGACACATGCATTTGGTTTAAGAGACCTGGGTTTGACAGCTAAATGAGTAAATGTAATCAGATGAGTAAATAAATGATCATGTTCAACAGATCTATACAAAGCTTTATTGACCCTGAACTTGTTTGATCATACAACACTTTATTTCCTCAGATTGAATCATTCTTCTGACTTCACAGTTTATTTCTTTACATTCTGACCAACATCTTATCCGTTTTATTTTTCTTTCTTCACTGACGAGACATTGTTTCAGACGAACTGTGAGTCGCTGAGCAGATCAATAAATGGATAAAACAGAGTTATTGATGATCAGTTTCAGGCTCTACAGAGGCAGACAGGAAACCAGCAGTGAAGACGAGTTTAAACACATTTCACCTTCAGCTCAATCTCATAAGATCTTTCTTTCCTGTTTAGTTTGCAGGCAGCTGATCAGCAGGCTGATTAACATCTAAAATGTGGCTTGGATTGTCTCTGATTCAGAGTCAAAGAAATAAAGTGAAACAACAGAACTAATCAGTACAATTATTACTGATTAATACCCTAATTAGTTTCTTAATTAATCAATAAGTAAATAAAACACTAAAAAAAAACAGTTAAAAGAGTCAGCGGGAACGCGCCTTTCTTTAAATTAATTGTTATTTGACACTGCTGGTAGAGGAAATAATGCAGCACGAGACAGACCTTCCTCTGATCAATCAATCAAACTTATTGAGTAATGCTGCAACAGATCAATAGGTCAACGCTGTGGAGCAAAGGATGAAGTCGTCACTTTGGACTCTGAGAGACGGGTTTTAGATAAGATACATATTGTCCCACTGAAGGATAATCAATAGTCAGACTTACAGCCATGAGCTTCTGTTTTAAACAATTAATATATTAGATAAAAACAACCGATAACTTGCACCCGTATCGATCGATCAGTTCAATTTCACTTTATTTCTCCGATTTCATTCATGAAATGTTTGAATCTCCTCGTGTCTCAGAGGATCAAAAGTCTGAAGAAAGATAAGAAAGATTGCCGTATGTTTGTGTCTGTCTGGATCAATAACCTGATTATTACCTCTCCTCCGTCTGGATCAATAACCTGATTATTACCTCCGTCTGGATCAATAACCTGATTATTTCCTCCGTCTGGATCAATAACCTGATTATTACCTCCGTCTGGATCAATAACCTGATTATTACCTCTCCTCTGTCTGGATCAATAACCTGATTATTACCTCTCCTCTGTCTGGATCAATAACCTGATTATTACCTCTCCTCTGTCTGGATCAATAACCTGATTATTACCTCTGTCTGGATCAATAACCTGATTATTACCTCTCCTCTGTCTGGATCAATAACCTGATTATTACCTCTCCTCTGTCTGGATCAATAACCTGATTATTACCTCTCCTCTGTCTGGATCAATAACCTGATTATTACCTCCGTCTGGATCAATAACCTGATTATTACCTCTCCTCTGTCTGGATCAATAACCTGATTATTACCTCTCCTCTGTCTGGATCAATAACCTGATTATTACCTCTGTCTGGATCAATAACCTGATTATTACCTCTCCTCCGTCTGGATCAATAACCTGATTATTACCTCTCCTCCGTCTGGATCAATAACCTGATTATTACCTCTGTCTGGATCAATAACCTGATTATTACCTCTGTCTGGATCAATAACCTGATTATTACCTCTGTCTGGATCAATAACCTGATTATTACCTCTGTCTGGATCAATAACCTGATTATTACCTCCGTCTGGATCAATAACCTGATTATTACCTCCGTCTGGATCAATAACCTGATTATTACCTCCGTCTGGATCAATAACCTGATTATTACCTCTCCTCTGTCTGGATCAATAACCTGATTATTACCTCTCCTCCGTCTGGATCAATAACCTGATTATTACCTCTGTCTGGATCAATAACCTGATTATTACCTCTCCTCCGTCTGGATCAATAACCTGATTATTACCTCTCCTCCGTCTGGATCAATAACCTGATTATTACCTCTGTCTGGATCAATAACCTGATTATTACCTCTGTCTGGATCAATAACCTGATTATTACCTCTGTCTGGATCAATAACCTGATTATTACCTCTGTCTGGATCAATAACCTGATTATTACCTCCGTCTGGATCAATAACCTGATTATTACCTCTCCTCTGTCTGGATCAATAACCTGATTATTACCTCTCCTCTGTCTGGATCAATAACCTGATTATTACCTCTGTCTGGATCAATAACCTGATTATTACCTCTGTCTGGATCAATAACCTGATTATTACCTCTCCTCCGTCTGGATCAATAACCTGATTATTACCTCTCCTCTGTCTGGATCAATAACCTGATTATTACCTCTGTCTGGATCAATAACCTGATTATTACCTCTGTCTGGATCAATAACCTGATTATTACCTCCGTCTGGATCAATAACCTGATTATTACCTCTCAGTAGAATATATAAATCTTCTGTATTTACACACACAGACATTCAGAAGCTGCTTCTCGTTGGCATCACATCATTCAGAGAAACACAAACTAAAAACTACAGTTAGCCTACAAAACGTCCAGGAAGTCTCTTATTTTGAAGTGACAAGAGGAAGTGATGTCAGAGGGTGGAGATCAGTGCGGCTCAGGCTGCTGAGGGAGAGACTGTCCGCCATGTTGTCCTCCACGTCTCCTGAGTGCACGCAAGGTCACCTGATCACTCTTAAAGTCATCTGAGCATCATCAAGGTCACCTGATCGCTCTTAAAGTCATCTGAGCATCATCAATGTCACCTGAGCGTCATCAAGGTCACCTGATCGCTCTTAAAGTCATCTGAGCATCATCAAGGTCACCTGAGCGACATCAAGGTCGCCTGAACGTTCTTAAAGTCATCTGAGCATCATCAAGGTCACCTGAGCGTCATCAAGGTCACCTGATCGCTCTTAAAGTCATCTGAGCGTCATCAAGGTCACCTGAGCGTCATCAAGGTCACCTGATCGCTCTTAAAGTCATCTGAGCGTCATCAAGGTCACCTGAGCGTCATCAAGGTCACCTGATCGCTCTTAAAGTCATCTGAGCATCATCAAGGTCACCTGAGCGTCATCAAGGTCACCTGATCGCTCTTAAAGTCATCTGAGCATCATCAAGGTCACCTGAGCGACATCAAGGTCGCCTGATCGCTCTTAAAGTCATCTGAGCGTCATCAAGGTCACCTGATCGCTCTTAAAGTCATCTGAGCGTCATCAAGGTCACCTGAGCGTCATCAAGGTCACCTGATCGCTCTTAAAGTCATCTGAGCGTCATCAACGTCACCTGAGCGTCATCAAGGTCACCTGAGCGTCATCAAGGTCACCTGATCGCTCTTAAAGTCATCTGAGCGTCATCAAGGTCACCTGAGCGTCATCAAGGTCACCTGATCGCTCTTAAAGTCATCTGAGCGTCATCAAGGTCACCTGAGTGCCCTTACAGTCATCTGAGCGCCCACCTGAGTCTTAGATCAGAGACAGAAAACGCTCACTGAGGGAGTCCCTGCTCTGTCCTGATTGGTCCTCGGGCCTTGTCATAGGCTCGACTCTTTAGGCGGGTAGTCCACGTTGGTTACCATGGTGACAACCGTGACAATGTCCTCCGGCGGCGTGACGCTCGTCTGCCGCTGCATCTGCACGACTCGTTCCTCCACGCAGCCCGCCGACAGCCGAGCTTCAGCCTCGTGATCCCAGCACTCCTCAATGGTCTCACAGAGCAGGGCCAGACCCTGCAGGGACACCGAGACATTCATAACACCGTCAGTACAAGATCTAAAGACTGTCACTCAAACATCCACAACACTAAAACATCCACAACACTACAATATCAACGTCACTCAAACATCAACAACACTACAATATCAACAACACCGTCACTCAAACATCAACAACACTAAAACATCCACAACACTACAATATCAACGTCACTCAAACATCAACAACACCGTCACTCAAACATCCACAACACTACAATATCAACACCATCACTCATACATCAACAACACCGTCACTCAAACATCCACAGCACTACAATATCAACACCGTCACTCAAACATCAACAACACTAAAACATCCACAACACTACAATATCAACGTCACTCAAACATCAACAACACTAAAACATCCACAACACTACAATATCAACGTCACTCAAACATCAACAACACCGTAACTCAAACATCCACAGCACTACAATATCAACACCGTCACTCAAACATCAACAACACTAAAACATCCACAACTCTACAATATCAACAACGTCACTCAAACATCCACAGCACTACAATATCAACACCGTCACTCAAACATCAACAACACTAAAACATCCACAACTCTACAATATCAACAACGTCACTCAAACATCCACAACACCGTCACTCAAACATCCACAACACCGTCACTCATACATCCACAACACTACAATATCAACAACACAACACCGTCACTCAAACATCATCAACATCCACAACACTAAAACATCCACAACACTACAATATCAACGTCACTCATACATCCACAACACTACAATATCAACACCGTCACTCATACATCAACAACACCGTAACTCAAACATCCACAACACTACAATATCAACACCGTCACTCATACATCAACAACACCGTCACTCATACATCATCAACACTGTCACTCAAACATCCACAGCACTACAATATCAACACCGTCACTCAAACATCATCAACACCGTCACTCAAACATCATCAACACCATCACTCAAACATCCACAACACTACAATATCAACGTCACTCATATCAACAACACCGTAACTCAAACATCATCAACACCATCACTCAAACATCCACAACACTAAAACATCCACAACACTACAATATCAACGTCACTCAAACATCCACAACACTGTCACTCAAACATCAACAACACTAAAACATCCACAACTCTACAATATCAACAACGTCACTAAAACATCATTAACACCATCACTCATACATCCACAACACTAAAACATCCACAACACTACAATATCAACGTCACTCAAACATCCACAACACAGTCACTCAAACATCCACAGCACTACAATATCAACACCGTCACTCAAAAATCAACAACACTAAACATCCACAACTCTACAATATCAACAACGTCACTAAAACATCAACAACACCGTCACTCAAACATCCACAACACCGTCACTCAAACATCCACAGCACTACAATATCAACAACACAACACCGTCACTCAAACATCATCAACATCCACAACACTAAAACATCCACAACACTACAATATCAACGTCACTCATACATCCACAACACTACAATATCAACACCGTCACTCATACATCAACAACACCGTAACTCAAACATCCACAACACTACAATATCAACACCGTCACTCATACATCAACAACACCGTCACTCATACATCATCAACACTGTCACTCAAACATCCACAGCACTACAATATCAACACCGTCACTCAAACATCATCAACACCGTCACTCAAACATCATCAACACCATCACTCAAACATCCACAACACTACAATATCAACGTCACTCATACATCAACAACACCGTAACTCAAACATCATCAACACCATCACTCAAACATCCACAACACTAAACATCCACAACACTACAATATCAACGTCACTCAAACATCCACAACACTGTCACTCAAACATCAACAACACTAAAACATCCACAACTCTACAATATCAACAACGTCACTAAAACATCATTAACACCATCACTCATACATCCACAACACTAAAACATCCACAACACTACAATATCAACGTCACTCAAACATCCACAACACCGTCACTCAAACATCAACAACACTAAAACATCCACAACTCTACAATATCAACAACGTCACTAAAACATCATTAACACCATCACTCATACATCCACAACACTAAAACATCCACAACACTACAATATCAACGTCACTCAAACATCCACAACACCGTCACTCAAACATCAACAACACTAAAACATCCACAACACTACAATATCAACGTCACTCATACATCAACAACACCGTAACTCAAACATCATCAACACCATCACTCAAACATCCACAACACTGTCACTCATACATCAACAACACTAAAACATCCACAACTCTACAATATCAACGTAACTCATACATCAACAACACCGTAACTCAAACATCATCAACACCATCACTCAAACATCCACAACACTAAAACATCCACAACTCTACAATATCAACGTAACTCATACATCAACACCGTAACTCAAACATCATCAACACCATCACTCAAACATCAACAACACTAAAACATCCACAACTCTACAATATCAACAACGTCACTAAAACATCAACAACACCGTCACTCAAACATCCACAGCACTACAATATCAACACCATCACTCATACATCAACAACACCGTCACTCATACATCCACAGCACTACAATATCAACACCATCACTCAAACATCAACAACACTAAAACATCCACAACACTACAATATCAACGTCACTCAAACATCCACAACACTGTCACTCATACATCAACAACACTAAAACATCCACAACACTACAATATCAACATCACTCAAACATCCACAGCACTACAATATCAACACCGTCACTCAAAAATCAACAACACTAAAACATCCACAACTCTACAATATCAACAACGTCACTAAAACATCAACAACACCGTCACTCAAACATCCACAGCACTACAATATCAACACCGTCACTCAAAAATCAACAACACTAAAACATCCACAACTCTACAATATCAACAACGTCACTAAAACATCAACAACACCGTCACTCAAACATCCACAACACCGTCACTCAAACATCCACAACACCGTCACTCAAACATCCACAACACCGTCACTCAAACATCCACAGCACTACAATATCAACAACACAACACCGTCACTCAAACATCATCAACATCCACAACACTAAAACATCCACAACACTACAATATCAACGTCACTCAAACATCCACAGCACTACAATATCAACACCGTCACTCAAACATCATCAACATCCACAACACTAAAACATCCACAACACTACAATATCAACGTCACTCAAACATCAACAACACCGTAACTCAAACATCCACAGCACTACAATATCAACACCGTCACTCATACATCCACAACACCACAATATCAACACCGTCACTCAAACATCATCAACACCGTCACTCAAACATCATCAACACCGTCACTCAAACATCATCAACACCGTCACTCATACATCATCAACACCGTCACTCATACATCATCAACACCGTCACTCATACATCATCAACACCGTCACTCATACATCAACAACACCGTCACTCAAACATCAACAACACTAAAACATCCACAACTCTACAATATCAACAACGTCACTAAAACATCAACAACACCGTCACTCAAACATCCACAACACCGTCACTCAAACATCCACAACACTAAAACATCCACAACACTACAATATCAACGTCACTCAAACATCCACAACACCGTAACTCAAACATCCACAGCACTACAATATCAACAACACAACACCGTCACTCAAACATCATCAACACCGTCACTCATACATCAACAACACCGTCACTCATACATCAACAACACCGTCACTCAAACATCCACAGCACTACAATATCAACAACACAACACCGTCACTCAAACATCATCAACACCGTCACTCAAACATCATCAACACCGTCAATCAAAGATCATCAACACCGTCACTCATACATCAACAACACCGTCACTCAAACATCCACAGCACTAAAACATCCACAACACTACAATATCAACAACGTCACTAAAACATCCACAACACCATCACTCATACATCAACAACACCGTCACTCAAACATCCACAGCACTACAATATCAACAACACAACACCGTCACTCAAACATCATCAACACCGTCACTCAAACATCATCAACACCGTCACTCATACATCAACAACACCGTAACTCAAACATCCACAGCACTACAATATCAACACCGTCACTCAAACATCAACAACACTAAAACATCCACAACTCTAAAATATCAACGTCACTAAAACATCAACAACACCGTCACTCATACATCCACAACACCGTCACTCATACATCCACAACACTAAAACATCCACAACTCTACAATATCAACAACGTCACTAAAACATCATTAACACCATCACTCATACATCAACACCGTCACTCATACATCAACAACACCGTCACTCATACATCCACAACACCGTCACTCAAACATCCACAACACTAAAACATCCACAACTCTACAATATCAACACCGTCACTAAAACATCCACAACACCATCACTCATACATCCACAACACTACAATATCAACACCGTCACTCATACATCAACAACACCGTCACTCATACATCCACAAAACTACAATATCAACAACACAACACCGTCACTCATACATCCACAACACCGTCACTCATACATCCACAACACCACAATATCAACAACACCGTCACTCAAACATCCACAACACTAACACAGCCACAACACTACAATATCAACAACACCGTCACTCATACATCCACAACACCGTCACTCATACATCCACAACACTACAATATCAACAACACCGACACTCATACATCCACAAAACCGACACTCATACATCCACAAAACTACAATATCAACAACACAACACCGTCACTCATACATCCACAACACCGTCACTCATACATCCAAAACACCACAATATCAACAACA